ATTTGTTGCTCATTTATTTTACATTTTTTTTGTTGTTCTATTATAATAGAAGACAAAGAATTTTATATAAAAAAATTATGTTCACTTAAGCATATTAACATATACATGTATTAATATTTTTTGATGTTCAATTTATGTAACATAAAATATCTAAAATAAGTTTTGTAAAATCATTAACAATTATAGGATTACGTTTTTCTTTTTTTTTATTAAAGTATTTTAAAAGACCAAAAAACGTCATACATATAGTAGTGAATATATTCAAAATAAAAAATTTCAGCATCCATGGGATATCAATACCAGATTGTGTTCGTAAAAATTATAAGGCTTAATATTAACGTACTTTAACATATACCAGCACATTGATATTAATTAGTAAGAATGAATATTGTTCCACAATCTCTTGTAACAATCGGGGTAACAGTATACCACGACCACCTATAAAAATTGATTGTTTCCCCCTCAGAGTGCGGGACATTTCCTATATCACCGGCTGGAGACGCACTCTGCAGATGAACTCGACCATCCTGCAAGACTCGATAGACCACAACTCCGCCACCGTGAGAGCAAAACCCCCCAATATCACCTTTCTCCCATGAAGAAGAACATCACACTTTCCAAGAAAGTGTACTGAGGAGGACACCTCAAAGGTTCTCCTCCCCACAGAATCTGTAAGTTGGATGAATCTGAACCCGGTGACTCTCACCTGATTCTTTCTCAACTCTATAATTTTCTTAAATCTCTTGTGGTCATAATTTCCTAGAAGCTTCTTCAGGAAACTCCACCAGCGCTCCGACTGCTTCCTATTTTATTCCTTTCTTAGTTCACGTCGAATAGCATGTGGTCCGATTCCGCAGAAGGGCTCAGGGCCGAGGAAGAATATGTTAGTCCCTTGCTATATCTTATTTATAAAATAAGTTCATGCTCATATATCTATTATAATATTATAAGCATTACAAATGGAAAAATAATTTTGGCGACACTCTTAATTATTTCAAATTTTTCAAAAACAATATTTTTATTGAATTATTTAAGGATCAAAAAATATGATAAAAGACGCAAAATTCTATCTAAGTCTAAAATCAATCTATATAAATAAATGGGGGATGAGAATGGCTTACTATTCAATTTATTGATTTTGTATAATTTAATTTGTACAAGTATAATAATAAAAGAGAGTGTTTTTTTTTATTTTCTTTTAAAATGATTTCAGTTTAATTACTTTTGACTGAAGTACAGAGAATTTGTCCTTTAGTATATTAAAAAAAAATTGGAAGAAAATTCTTAGAAAATTTGTCAAATTTTCGGTAAAAAAAAAAATATTTTATTTTTTTTTTTTTTTTAGTAAAACTCGATTGCTGTTTTTTTAGGATAATTTTTCGTATCAAAAATTTTTGTATACACGTACATAATTTTTAAATTATGCGGAAAATTGAACAACAGATTGCTTGCGTACAAATTAAAAAAATTTAATTTTTGATTTTCTTCTGTACGTATGTTTACATTGAAAAATAATCCTACGATTTTAATGATAAGCATAATATTTTATGGCTAACTACATCTATATGTTCCAGGGCAATATCAATAATTTAAGAGTAATTAATTTTTTGTATAATACTGATTGTCTTTTAAAATATGTGTGTATAATCCTCGTTAATTAATGTTTATGAATTTATATTTCGCATTATTATTAAAGAAAATTTGTAACAAGTCCCAAATTTGTGATAAGCTGTCGCAAATTTTTGTCCCATAGGATAAAATTAATAATACGAGTAATAAGATTGATGATAAAAAATTTGAATTCAGTAAAATTTTGTCAAAAATTCTATTGAAAACTCTCTTGTTCCCATTTATTCTTGTAACAGAAAATCTACTTTCCTAGGGACCTAACAAATAATAAATAGAACAATCATATTTTATTTTATTGTGTCAAATCGCAATTTTGTCAAAAATAATAATAATGTATACAGACAGAATTTCGTGAATTTCCTTAGAGTCATCATAAAAAAATAAAAAAAACCAAATTATATAATTTTTTTTTCACAATAAAAATCATTATTAAAATTACTTTATCCTTGACCATAAGAAAAACTAAAAGGAAAACAAAAAAACAAAAAAAAAGAAAATGATGTACTTGGCATATCTAACAAATCGAAATGAAAAAACGATCACGCAAACCTGTAATCACCCCAAATTTATATTAATATTCTTAATTTCCATTCTATAGAGAACATATACAAATATTTTATATACATTTCCGAGTATGTATAGCGTATGTGTTTTAAAACTTTCATAAAAAAAAAAAAAAATTCAAAATTTTCAAAGAAATTTTATTTTGATATTAAAGTGTGGTTAGAGATCTAAAGTAGAATAGTAATTACCACCAAAATTACCACGTCAAAAGAACATTTCCTATGGTCGCCTATTGTTTTTTTTTTTGTTTCATAATTTATTATTTATCTTTCATGTTATTAAATGGACTTCCTTTGCATGGAATATTGCTTAAATAACTTTAAGTGCTGTTAAGTTTTCTTACCACAATAATGGGTACTATATTACAGTACATACTTGTACTGACTACGGTAATAAATAAAATTAGTTTTATAAAATTTTTATATCACTAAATAATAGTGCTAATATAGGCAATATTAAATGTGGTTAAATTATTTAAAAACATTAAAGTTTTTCCCAATTACTTATTGAATTTAAATAGCACTTGCTATTACATATACTATTTGTGATAATTTTCTAAATCTGAACTTAATCCAAGAAGTTTTTCGGTTATCGTTTGGGCGAAACAATATTATAACGCAACTATTAATAAATGCTACAAAAAAATTACCTATTTTACCCTTTTTTCATATTTTATGTATTTTTTTTTCATACTTTATAGATGTACCATATAATTTCTAACAAATTAATTTCTTTCCAACATGAATAAGCCCTACATAATTAAGTTATTATAATGGAAATCATTATTTTGTTTTTTGAAATTCAAAAAATGATAAAATTTACCTTATTTAATTTACACACGTGCAATAACTATAATATGAATAATAAATTAAGATTTTGTAGAAAATAATTGTTTTCACTTAAGCACGCAAATATCATTCACAATATACTATCATTTAATAAGTCTCGATTTCGAAAACTCACACCAAAAATTATTTTTACACTTTTTACTTGAAAAAAATTAACAAATAATTTTACCTACATTAAACACTTTTTCAAATCAGTGATCAAAATTACTTCAAGGCCCAAGGGCAACATATTTTTTTTGTTTTGGATTATAAAATTTAAAAGTTTGAAATTTTTCGTATAGCATTGAACTTATCCTTAATAATGTTTACATTGACCTTTCAGAAATTTTTACATTTTTCCATTTCTGAAATCTAACGTGCAAATTTTAAAACTTATAGACTCATGTAATATTTTTTCTTAAATTTATAATAGTTTCTAACGAATGTACTTGAATTTTTAAAAAATTATTGAAACTATTGAACTTGAAATATTTTTCAAATTGAATTTTTCGTTTAATTTGATTTGAATAATATCAAAATTTTAGCCTGTAAGATTTTACAATTTCATCAACAATTACGAAAAATGTTTTTATTTAATTTTCATTTTCCTTAAAATTGTCTAGTAAATATTAATTTCGAACAAATTGAATAAATCAAATAAATAAATAGTTGATAAAATTAGTATTAAGGTAGAAAACTGGTTTTTAGAATGCCTGCAAAAAAATTTGGAAAAAATGCTTATTCACTCTATCCGCCAATTCGTCTGTGCTTCTGTTTATAAATTACCCTTTGAGATTAAAAGATAAAATTTTATGAAAAACTGGATCTTTACCAGAAACTTATTTTTATAGAAAAAAATTTCCACCTATCTCCCTATCCCCATTTTAATGCTCCTCATTCCATCATAAAGCTCCTCATAAAAATTCCATTTTTCGACTATTTACTGTATTAAAACCACAAACATTTTTTCAATTCTTAAAACACAAAAAAAGTAGGCACTTGTAGATTATTGAAATAAAAAAATGGCCGTTAAAATTCACCGTTATCTAAAACCCATTTTTTTTTCAAATTTTTATTATATATTTTCTAGACCGCTATAGAAGTTTAAAATTTTAGCAGCTTAAGCTAATAAGTTGTTTAGTTCGTTCAAAAAAATTCTTTCCACCACCTTCCAAGTTCCCATCTCTCGGAATTCGTATAATACAAATTTTCAGAGCCTTATGTTTCCAAAACAACAACATTTTCGAACTTCTTTGAGAGAATTTCATTTTTGTTCAATTTGGTGTTATGGAAATGTTATCTTGGTATGATTATTTAACATTAATCTCAACATAAAATATTGGTTTTACTCCACTTATACTGCGTTTCATATATATTAAAATATTTTTTAATGTATAACACATTATTTTCTCCTACCACTTTAATATGCATTAGAATTCTCAGCGAAATTTATTGCATAAAATTATTTCACTTCTAATGTGTGCGTGAAGGCAAAGAAATCTGTTGAAATATGTATGTATGTATATACAAATATTGGGTATACATAAACCTTCATATCTTACAAATAAATAATTTTTAAAACAATAAAAAGAAAACTACATTCGTTCGATAAATAACCCATAACACGAATGAAAACGTCCATGATAAAAACGTCCTTTTCAACATGATAAAAAAATTACATTGTTCATTGGCCCTTTATGGTTTTATGTCACAAAAGATGACATTTTAATGGTAGGCATCATTTATATTATGCCTTTAAAAATGTATTAAAAAATTCTTGTTGAACACAAAAAACAAAAAAAAATTTAAATCGCATATTAGATTAGTTACATAAATTTAGCATACTTTTGGGGGCACATTTTTCATATAATCTGAAAAATGTTCAATTCATTTTTAAATTTATTTTATTATAAACAGTTATATTGGAAAAATATATGTGTTATATTTGTTTTTGTTTGCAAATTTATAATATTGACTTACCTTAGGTGCCTTGGCATAATATAATTTACCACGTTTTAATCGAAAATAACGTTGTCGCCATCTTTGAAATGACCATGTTTGTTTCATTAAATAACCTTCTTTAATTGCAACCTGAAAATTATAAAAATATAAATGAAAAATTACTTTATATTAATTTATTAGAAGCTTTTAATATAGTAAATTCAATATAATGATAATTTAAGGAAAAAGATGTCGCGTTGGAATTAAAAATAAATGAAATTAATATAACAGTTCTCTATTCTTTATTAAATGTGTATAGAAATGTACCTGAAATATTTATTACAATTACAATTGCAAGCAAAACATATATAAAATGAATTGCTCTGCCCTTGGACAAAATATATACGACTTCATTGTTAAATGATACTCCTGCCAGAATAAAAATTTTCATAGTTCAAAATCCGATGAACTTTTAAAAAAAATGTGAAAGTCAAACTTTTTGCCCTAAACAGTACATGCAAATGGGAGCCTATTATTTACGTAAGTTGTAAGTATTTTACAAGTGACATTTTATTATAATTTATATTCAATATAATTTAATTGCCTACTTACTAATCTTTATCTTCAATTTTCCTTTTTTCAATTAAATAACAGATTGAGGACAGATTCTTAACAAATCGTGTCCATACCTACATTCTTGGAATATATATAACTTAAGTATAACTTTGGAAAACCATATTACTACCAAACACAAGACAAAACAAAATCTATTAAATGCAAAATGCCATAATATGTAATGCACATAATAGATTTTCTACATTTTAACTTTCTGAGATATTACTGCGGTCCACAGCAAAAGCCATCATTCATAGGTATGAGAACTCACCTTTCGTATAACAAAATTTCATATGCTTCTTTTATTCATTTCTCTACAATATGATATATGCTCGAGTATAACTAAATAAATTTTGTTATAGTTTAACAATAAATGTTATACAAAATAAATTTAACAGTAATACAAAAAAACAAAAAAAAAATTCTTATAAATATTACAATTTTTTTTTTATCATTTTCCATTGTAATTCTTAAAATATTAGAGAAATTTTCAAGGTTAAACAGGTTTCATTAGAGAATATATAAATATATATATATATATATATATATGTATATGAAAACATACAAACAAAATCATCATTTAAATTTTTTTAGTATCCTTTTCATAGACAAAAAGGACTTTTTTTTTCTATTAAAATTAAAGCATAAATATAAGCATAAAAAATCATAAAATATGACATTACGATATAAAAAGCTTCTTTTGTTTACATTTTGAAAAGAAACAAAAAGCTTTGTAACTTTAAAGAAAAGCTTCTGAAAAAAAAACGGTACATATGTATGTATAAAATATAACAATAAAATATTTCTATATAAAAGTGTTCGATACCGGCGTATATGCCATATGAAAAAAAATTCCATAATGTAAAAATAAAGTATAACAATATGTATGTAAATATAACAAAATATAACAAGAAACAAAAAAAAAAAATTATCTAACAACAATTGCACGCACATGTGTAAAAAACGTACGTAAAGGTGTGTATGTATGCACCAAAAAATGATGATAGCACTAACACACAACCAAATATATAAGAATAAATAAATAAGAATATAACAGATATAAATGGAAATGAAACAAAGATATTTCATCATCCCCTACATTAATTTCTCTTTATTTTTTTTTTCTTAAACCCAAAGAAACTTTAACCTTTTATCAAGGTTGTAAATAAAATGCAAGAGAATACATAAGAAAAAAACAAAAATAACATAAAAAAAATAATAAGAGATTGTGCTCAAACGATAAAAAAGAAGAAGAAGAAAATTGTAAATCTTTAATACACGAGAACGTAAAATTTAATAAAACAAAAGAAAATTAAATTTATTGCCGATTGTAAAATATATATATATATATTATATATATATATATATATGTATGTTTAGAGAGAGAGAGAGTGTTGTAATAAATTTTTGATTACAAATTTCCTATATCGTATGCAGGTATATATACAAAATTACATACAATACACATGTATAATTAAATTTAATATTATAAAGGTGCATTATTCAGAAAAAGCTACGGGGTTAGAGGAGTCCAAGTTATTTTTTTCCACTTTTATCAATTAGCTCTGGGAAACAGTTCTGCTCAACAACCACAAAAAACATTTTAATTAAGAAAATTTTGTATTAACCCCGCAAAATACAAAACATTTAACATGAAATTATTGTTCTTTTGTATGAAATATGAAGGCACCAAATTACTCATGCACTTGATGAGAAATAACTGCAGAATGAAATAAATACATGAAATTTTCCTTTAGTCTAAGTCAAATTCTATTAAATAATATTTATATACGATACTTTCATATATACGATATTCTACACTGTATACATGCTATTCTGCACTGCGAATATGAAACAGCCTCATCAATTCAATTTAAATCCGCTTCTGTTTTCATCGTAATACGATAAAATTATATACATATACACAGAATGCATATATATCTCTAATGCAATATCATAATAATTTTAAATATATATAAAGATTTTAGTGACGGTGTAACACAAAAAAATCAAAATGTATGCATAATATGTAAATAGAAAACAAACAAAAATAATAAATAAAAAATCTTCAAAGTAGACTTTATGGAGACATTAAAAAGCTATTTTCCCTTCACGGTCACTTTTATTCCACATAATATGATATTATGATCATGTTAATGTGAAATAAAAATGTTTATTCCCTTTTAAAAAAATAAACCAAAATAATATACCCAAATCACTTGTTTATCAATAAATATATTCGTGTATATAAAACGTGATAAAAATTATATATTTACCCATTTATTACATATATAGATTTTATATATCACAATTCATAAGTGTATATATACACGACTAATATATAGAGTATATTATTAAGAGATACATATACATTCTTAAAAATACGTTAAAAATTTTTAAATCATAATAATGTTATACATATTATACTAACATTAAATATCTTAATATTATATACATAATTCTTATATACTACATATATATATAATATAGAAATGTGTTATATACTATATATACATAATATATATTTACATAGTAACTGTTGCCGTTGCTAAGGGTATCTTTATTTTCTTGTAATTTTCTTTTACACTTTTCTTTATCTTATATTTTATATTCCACATCATAAAACATATGGACTGTAAATTTGTAAATTTAATAAGAATACACAATGTATATATATTACGTATTTATATATCAGAATATATACAATCTGTTATACATTTCAACACTAATATCTAGAAACATAATATCTAGAATATGAAAATAATTATATATTCTATACTATATAATTCATCAAAATTACATAGGGATATAAATGTATAACATTACATTGGTATTTAAGTATAATATAAAGGAAAATATTCTTGCCTTATCTTTATTATTATAAAAGAAAAAAGAAAATATATAAAGCAAATGAATAATATCAAAGGACATTTTTTGTATATACATTATACCCTCTGAAAATAATAAATTAATAATATAGTATGCTTCGTTCCTTTTCATCGACCACATTACAATAAAATATTCAAAATGAAAGGTATTGCATTCAAATTGAAATTGTTATATAAAAATTTTGGCGTAACCTATGTGTACAATTATTACAATATCTATAAAATTTACATGATTCCTGCTCGCAGTTTTTGTAGCTTATCTGGTCGGTCATATAGAGTATAATCGGCGTTGACTATAGCTTACGCAAAAATATATAATTAAATACTTTTGAAAGATTCTGAGTTTTTTCTCAAAAAACAAACAAAAATTGAAATAAAAGTTTCTATTACTTTCACCATTTCCATTCGTCCGTCCCTTCGTTCGTGATTGTATATGAAATTAACGGCCTTTTGATACTAATAAGTAGTTTATTTAGTTAGAAAAAAAATTTATTTCCCATTCCACCCCCTTTTTATCGCTTCGGGAAATTTTTCAAATATAATGTTGCTATATATAGGGTGAATACCAATAGAAATTTTTTTTTCACTTAGTCGCTTGGCCATAAATAACTTTCAAAATTATATGAGAATTGATATATCTATTATTTCGGAGCTTTCCTCTTCAATCTCACGATTCGTATACATAACTATATACCTAACCATGTTTTCCGTCTCCTTTTTACTTTAGTATATTACAAAAGTCCTGTAGCATATTTGAAAACTAATAAAGTTGGGTCAAACCAATGGTTTGTATTGTAGCACTTTTCCCTTCAACAAATGAAAATTTTGCTTTTAAATACAGTCTATGTAGTCTATGTACCTATCACACTATTAAAATTATTTTCATTCATATACAAAACTATTTCTAGGATTGCATATATTTAGGATGACGCATACTCGTATATGCAGTCTTTGAAATAAAGCAAAAATTAATATAAAAAGGGGTTAACATAAAGCTCAATATTAAGGGTTTATTGTGTGAGTTAAGAAAAATAATTATATTTTTTAATTTCACGGAATTTACCGTTAGCTTGTTGCGTTTATAAAAATTTGGAAAAGCTTGCGGTTTCGGAAATATAAGGTGTCAAAAATTCAAATTTTACGAATTTCAAGAGGTGATAACTTGAGAGGGGGTGGAGATGGAAAAAAATTTTCTTCTAACAAAATGAACTATTTATTAATATCTAAAATCTCCTAAAATTTCAAGCTTCTACAGTCTGGGACTTAGAAGAAAAACGACATCAAAAATTTGGAAAAAAAGGACTTTAAATAACGGTAAATTTGAGCGGCCATTTTGTTTTTCTTAAGTTGAACTATAGTATACCGCGCAAGGGGAAGCAAGCCACTGCCTTTCTGCGTTTGCAAAATTTCAAAAATGCTTATGGTTTCACTGCACTAAATAGTTAAAAATGGCATTTTTAGGGTTTTGGGGGGGTATAACTTCTAGAGGGGGGGAGATAGGTAAAAATTTTGTTCTACGGAAATAAGTTTCTAATAAGGATCTATGTACATAAAAAATTTCAGCTTTCTATCTTCAAAGGTGTAGAAGTTTTGTAAACAGACACACGGACAGACGGACAGACGGACAGACGGACGGACGGACGGACGGACGGACGGACGGACAGAGTGAAACTAATAAGCACTTTTTTCAAAAAATTTTTTAAAAAAGTGCTAAAAAGAATATTCTTTGATTTTTTGCTTTTTTTTTGTCTTTGTGTCTGTTTTCATGAATTCTTCAAAGGTAAAGTATAACATGAAAACATAATATTTTGAAGAACTGTTAGAAATCTCATAATGAGAGATGAAAAGTTAGATATAGGTACACACTACTTATCTAAATAATAAGATGATCGAAAGTCATTATAATTTGTAGTGTTTTCAGCAAATTTTATTAGCATTGTCTTTGTTGTATATTCTATATATGCATATAGTTTCGTATAGATAAAACTGATGCGATCAATTAAATTATGTATGTATATGTGATTTCTCTGAAATAGTGGAATTAATTTAGGAGGCTCTATACCCTTAAATTATATACTATAATATAATAAATATAAAATTTAAAATGTTGGTAACAAAAATTATAATTTTTTATGGTGAATTTTTTAATAATTTTGGAATAAGAATCAACAGATGAAGGTATGTATACATTAATACATGGTTGTAGCATTCGTTTCTATAAATTTTTTCATAAATTAAAAATAAATTAACTGTTATACAAATGAGACTAATAAGAATATAAAGTTTAAATATTACGAAAAATATGTGTGTTTTGTTTTCAATCTAATTTTTTAATGGACGTGCTCCAATAATTTTCAAATCTTTTAATTAAAGATATTGATGACAGATATTTTGTATAGTTGTCGGGAACCTAAACATTTCCCTATTTAAAAACTTTTAACCAATAAAATTTTCCATTATTTTTCAGTTCTATATAGACTTAAATTTATAAAACAAAAATATTGGGAATACAAAATTCTCGAACTAAAAAGGTACATAAAATTTTTGTATATAATGTTATATACAAAATGTTTTAATATATAAAGGGTATAAGAAAGCTACAATGAATACGAAAACCAAAGAAGAAGAGAAAAATTAAGTAAATGTTAAATTTTCGTCATCTCCTCTCAAAAATTACAATCACACATAGAATATTCCTGAAGAAAAAATTAAAGAAATAACAAATTTTTCATGTAAATTTTGTTTTTTTACCGTTTTCTCTGTATAAGAGATGTTTTTGTATCTCTTCTCCAATAAATATTTAATTAAATAATATTCAAACTGAGTACACAAAGATAAACTTTAATTTTCCTTTAATAAAATTTTTAAAATATCAACTATAAATACATGTATTATGTATCCTGTATAGCTATCTATATATATGTATATATAAATAAATAAATTGAATACACATAAATAGGTATATAAAAGAGAAATCATATATGTTTTATATACATAAGATAAAATGTAAATTTAAAATATATGATAAGGACACACTACTCACATACAAATATAAACATATTTTATATACAATTATTATATTGTTATATATTATAAGTATATAATATTTCGTACAAAATATACATTATTTAAAAGTATTTTTACTTACAGAGCTTCTAACATCACGTTTTGTTGACACACGTCGATGAAATATTTTTGCTGGTTCTTGTTCATTTTCAGATTCCTCAGATGATTCTTCAGTTCCAGATACATTACTTGAAACTGGTGTTGTTGCTGCTGATGTACATGCTGAATGTACAGTTAATGTATCAATTGTACTAAATGAAGACAATGGTCGTCTTATATTCTCTTTAAAATCAAGTCGTTTTGAATTTGACATTTCAAAATAACAAAAAAAAAAAAAAAATTACAAAAAATTTAGTCTTATTTTTTTTCTCTTTTCTTTAATTTTATTTATTTGTTTGTTATTATTAACCCTTTAGCTCGTATATTAAAATTTTTTTATTATGTAACTTAGCTTAATTTATGATTTTATTTTTACGATATATAAAAGTTTGTAAGGTGATGGGCGTAAGAAAAATTTGTTTTTTTTTATAATTTTTTGAAATTTAATTTTTTTATATAATTTTAGCACAATTTTATATACAACTAACTTATGTAATGTGTAAAATTTGATTAAATTTTTTTTTTTATAAATTATTTAAATATTTTTTATTATTTTAATAAATTTTAAATTAATTATTTAATTTTAATTATTTTATAGCATATATTAATAATATTAATTAATATTTTTATTAAAATTCAATAAAAAAATTTTTAATTGAAGTTTAGAATTTTTTGTATAGTTTGATAATTTATATACTATTAACTACATATATATATATATATATATTATGTAATATATAATTATAATAATTAAATTATTATGTAGTTAAAATGATTTTTAATTTATTATTATTATTTATAATATTTTTATACATTTTTTATAAATAATTTAAAAAAAAATTTTTAGTTTGAAGGCAATTTTCGTTATTTATTAAATTTTTATAATTAATTTTTTTTATTTTTTGATTATTTTTCAATTTTATTTATATTTATTTTAATTAATTTTAATAATTTATATTTAATTTAATTAATATATGAATATTCTTATATTTTTTTTTGATTAATTTAGAGTATGTAATTTTTAAAGTTAATTACAGAAATTCTTTGTAAAATATGTATGTATGTATGTATTTAAATTGTAAGTTATTGATGTATAAGTACGAGTACAAAAAAGCTTAAAAAAGATTTCATATGTTATTAGCTACTATATAATATCATTTTATAAAATTTGATATTTTACTTTATTTATATATATTAAATTTAATTTAATTATTTATTAGTCATGAAATTCAGTTGTATGTTCTTTATTTTTTGTTTTTATTAATTTAATCTTAAATTTCTTAAATTTTTGATAGAATTTTAATTTTATTGTTGTATTTAATTAATTTTCACTCTATTTTTTTTTCTTATTTCTATATAATTTAAAATTTGTAATTTATAGCAACGTTCACTTATATATGTATATATTGAAAATTATAAATATTTTATTCGTCTTTATTATTGTGAATTTGTTTTTAATTTTTTTGATCGTCGAATAGAATGATATTTGATTCACATATGCACATAGGTAATTCTATATTTTATTATGTATATATATAACGAAACCAGAAAACCTGTAATATTAAATTTAAAATTTAATTAATATTTAATGCTATGGCTGCATTTTATTAGATATATAAAACTATACATTCATATATCGTATATATATATATATATATATATATATATATATATATATATTAAAAAACATTAAAGAGTTTATGTTTAAAATTCAACTGTAAACGAATTTAGTTCATTTTGATATAAAAATGTCAAAAAAATCATGGAATTTTTAAACAAAAAAAATTTATTCCTCTTACAGTAGCTCAAAAAAATTATTTCTCTTATAATAGCTTTTAATTTAATTCTCTAAGTACAGTTTCTCTTAATTTATCAAATTAAAGACGAAATATCAAAATTTTTCTACCACAAATTTTTTAAACTGACTACTTATTACGCATATGAACCTATAGGATCATAATTACATAGTATCTGTAACTTATGTAATCAGTTATGTAATTATGAATACATAACCTAATTCAGAAAAAGTGTTATATACTATTCGGAATAGTATATATACATTTTAATATTAAAATATGCGTACGCTGTATTCACTATAGGAAAATGATATTTACCACTTAGCCAAGCAAAATTTCTCTAAAACAGATTTTTCCTCTCTAAATTCACCCATGCGCAACAGAATTAACTGAAACTCTACAATCAATCTCTCTCAATCTATCCTAAAAATTCCAAGTATATCTATTTTTCCAAGTATATCAATATTTTACAAATCCCAAATATCTCCCTCAAGTTGATGTAATCAATAAAATAAAATATAAAGACATAGGTACCAAAATAAATATAGGTACCAAAATAATTTGCAGGCAAATTAAGACGTTTGGATTCGAGAACTTAAATATAATTCGAAATATAATATTTTTGTATTTTTTTCTATAACAAACTATTAAATTTTAATTTACAATATATTGTAATTGAATCTTATAATTATTTATATTATACTATGTTATGTATATTTATATAACAAATTGCCACAATGTCTAATTAAGTTATTTTACTTATATAATATAGTCAATTTAATTATATACTTTTCATTTATCAAAGACTTTAATTTCGCCTTTGGAGATGGAATACTTTTCTTCTTATTAAAATAACAGAATTATTTCAAAATTCTTGTATAATACAAGAATATACATGCATACGTATATACATGCATATATATATATATATACGAGTATATATATATATATATACTAGTATATATTATTCAAAAGATTTTATGATAAATTACATTTAAATGTAACTATCGCTTTTTTGATCTTTGAAATAATTGGAAAACCTCGAACAATATTTTTATAAAAGCAATAAATTGTACAAATAAAAATATAAAATTTGTTATTGATTTTTTTATTCTCAAGTTCAATTAAATTTTATTATTTATGAAATTTTTTATATATATATATATATATATACGTCTATATATATATATATATATATATATATATTAAATACTCAATTTACATTTTCAATATTAAGCTATAAAATAATGGTAAAATATTCATATAAAATGAAAATAAAAGGATATTAATAATTTCAAAATTCAATATTGATATTTTTCTTTCACTTTCTGTTTCTAATAAATTTAATATGTGTAATGTATACAGTATATATCAACGGCTATATATAACATATATATCTATATATAGAAGTATAACAAAAGATAAAGTAATAGAAAAATGTCACAAAAATTCAATTTGATTTTAAAATAAATAAAACATTGAAGATCAAAGAAAATTATTTTTAAAATATTTTCTTGAGTTTTATAGAAATAAAATGAAATAATTTTGTTACACATACTTTCTATTTTATACAGCCATGACTTATAATCTTACAGAATTTTGCAGAATTAAGGGTATAACTATCTAAAATTTAATATGTGATTAAATATTAAATTTAACAAATTTGATGATCTTAACTAGAATACTGTAACTTCGTACCGCCCTCACAATATAATAAAGCGCCTAAAAGGCTACAATTAAAAAATTTAAAATATTGTAAGAATTTTCTCTAACAAATTCTACCAAATAATTAAAATTTTCGATATTGTGCAAGAACAGATAATTTTTATAATGTTGCAATTGAATTTAGTATAAGTATAAGATTGAATATGGATTGATATATCACAAATTCCGAACAGTATAATTCTTTAAATAACATATACATATAAATCGAAATACATATAATATTATAAAAATATTTCTTTGAAATAAATAACTTTATTCTTAGAAAAGTATTATGTTACTCAATAAAATATTTCAATTCTATATTATTTAATTTTTTTTTTTTTTTTAATTTATTTCTGAAGAAAAACCAAATTCTTTGGAAATATCTTAGAAAATACATAAAAAAGAAAAATTTCAAATAATTAGTATTCCGGAATCGTATTTCACACATATAATTACTAGAATAAATGTATTACAAAAAAATTCTTTTATTTCTCTTGGAAAAAAAACAAGTTCCCTGAACATGGTGGATCAATTAACATTATTTGTAATTGTTATATTCATTTATGACGTTAAAGCCCTGAATATAAAAGGAATAAAGTTGGGTCAAACCAATGGTTTGCATTGCAGCACTTTTCACTTCAGCAAGTGAAAATTCTGCTTTTAAATACAGTCTATGTATACCGATCACACTATTAAAATTATTTTCATTCATATACAAACCTATTTCTAGGATTACATATATTTAGGATGATGCATACATGCAGTCTTTGAAATAAAGCAAAAATTAATATAAAGAGGGGTTAACATAATGCTCAATTTTAAGTGTTAATTGTGTGAGTTAAGAAAAATAATTATATTTTTTAATGTCATTGAATTTACCGTTAGCTTTTTGTGTTTATAGAAATTTGAAAAAGCTTGCGGTTTCAGAAATATAAGGTGTCAAAAATTCAAATTTTACAAACTTCAAGAGGCGATAACTCGGGAGGGGGAGGAGATGGAAAAAAATTTTCTTCTAACGAAATGAACTATTTAATGTCTAGAAGCCCCTAAAATTTCAAGCTTCTACATGCTGGGGTCTAGAAGAAAAACGAAACCAAAAATTTGGAAAAAAAAGACTTTAGATAACGGTAAATTTGAACGGCCATTTTGTTTTTCTAAAGTTTAACTATAGTATACCGCGCTAGGGAAAGCAAGCCGCTGCCTTTATGTGTTTGCAAAATTTTAAAAATGATTATGGTTTCATTGCAATAGTTAAAAAAAGCCATTTTTAGGGTTTTGGGGGGGGGTATAACTTCTAGAGGGGGGGAGATAGGTAAAAATTTTGTTCCACGGAAATAAGTTTCTAGTAAAGATCTATGTACATACAAAACTTCAATGGTGTAGAAGTTTTGTAAACAGACACACGGACAGACAGACGGACGGACGGACGGACGGACGGACGGACGGACGGACGGACGAACGGACTTTTTTTCAAAAATTTTTTGGAAAAGTGCTAAAACTTACTTGCTTCTTTTAAGAAAATTAACATTTGAATCGGATTAAAGATTTCATATAATTTTAAAGTGTTAAAATTCTAAAATAGTTTTACTATAATTCTTAGTAATAAATTCTGGCTGTCTTCTTTTTTTGTTGCATATATTTAGGGGAAAATAAAATTAATTTATATTTTATGCGTGTGTATTAAAATCTACATGATTTCCTTTGAATTTTCAATTTGCCGGCAATTAAGATGAGAGTGAAAAAATTAAAAAATATTTTTTTGAGAGTGATAAAATTTTCTTAATCCCGTGACATTATCGTTTGTAATTTTCACACGAATTTACAACCTTTATAACTTCTT